GTATTAAAGAGAGATCCAACCTAGAAGAAAGGAGAATTTTTATAACAATGGGAACAATTTATTGATGGAATAGTTTGCCTTCCAGACTTGTGAGTGCTCTATCAGTGGAGGTGTTCAAAAATAGACTGGACAACTATTGGACTGGGATGATATAAAGCTCCTGACTTGAGCAGGGAAGTTGACTAGAAGATCTCCAAGGTTCCTTCCAGGTCTATGATTCTATGTTCTATTTATTATATACCCAATTCTTCATATACCCATTTAAAACTTCAGTTCAAATTAGCAGCACTTTGGAGTGAGTGAGAGTGTGTGTGTGTGTGTGTGTGTGTGTGTGTGTGTGTGTGTGTGTTTAAAAGCTAAGTTAAAATAATTAAAGAGATGTCTTTAAAAGTCAAAATGCTAACTACAGACAATGAATGCCAAATCTGAAAACAGGCATGCTGTTTTCACTTAATAGAAACCAGATATGAATTAGCACCTTCTTTGCAGGTCTGCAGTTAGATTCAATCTGAATATTCATGGCCAATGGATTATAAGCATTTTATTTTACTTTTTAATATTCTAACTATTTAAAGGCAGAAAAGCTAGAGTATATATCTCCATCAATCTGGTTTATACAGCATTACAGTTTGAACAACATTCAGACATAAAATGTGTAGCAGGACTAAACTCATGGGAGAGAGAGTTTTCATCAGCCAATGTCACCTCTTCCAAAATATCTTCAAACCTTTACCATTTTTGCTAAAGTTTGACAGAATATCCTGGATTTACATCAGAAATCATATGATATAGAATACTGGGTTGTGCAAAACATTCTGTAGGTCAAGCTTTCTATGCATGGAAGAACCAGTGTTGGACAATTCATATCTTGGCACAACCTGAAATTTGATTCTGAGCAAAAAGTGATTTGGGGTAGATTAGTAAAATTCAGGGATATGTTCAGCATCACTCAACAACCAAAAGGAGGTTAGAAAAAGGGAAGCACTAGAAAGATTGGGGGAGGGCCATGTAAGCCAAAGTAGGGCATGTATATGTTATACTTGAAGCCAAGTATATTGGTAGCTAGAGATTTGTAGGAAAAAGAAAGTGCTGTGAAGATTGGGGAAGGGATATTTTTAAAATCAGAAACATCTACAGAGACAGATGAGCAGAGATAGGGAAGCTAAAGTCACTGGGATGATGAGCAGGCAGATTAGGATGTGCAGAGGAAGATGGGAGCGTGTAGCGAGTATATCAGTATTGCCTGACTCAACCTACAAGATACCTCCAGTTTCTTTTCTATATAAAGCCTTTATTTGTGTCTTTTTTTTAAATTTGATTTATATGCCTTTGAGTCAGTGTTGACTTCTGATGACTATCCAGGTTCCTGCAGGTTTCTTAGCAAGATTTCAAAGTGGTTTGCCAATGCTTCCTTCCTAGGACTGAGAGAGTGGTTGGCCCAATATTATCCAGCTGGTTTCATGCCCAAGTTGGGAAAAGAACTTACAATTCCTCAGTTTTTAGTCTGATGCTTTAAGTCCTACACAATCTGACCTTCTATATGTAAAGTCTGGAATAATTCAAATGTTTCATATTTCAATTTAGCTGCAATTGCAGCCCATCCAAAACAGCATGGCAAAACATCTGAAGTATAATATGTTTGTTACATGTCTTATTTCCTATATACCACTAGCAAAGAATATATGAACAATAGCCCATTTGCTGACCATGCAGTTCTATGCAGCAGTGCATGGATATTTACACTTGGAAAGTTAGAGTTGGGTTACAGGCTCAAATCCCGATTTATTTCCACAACAATTCTTTTTTCCTTTTCCCACATTTCACGATTAGTTATAGATCTGTTCTTCCAGTATGCTCCAATCATGCATATTTGTTCTTGTATTATTAATATGAGTAGTGGTGAAGTGGTGGTAGTGCAACAGTGGATTACCCTAATATCCTCTACAGGGAGCCAGTCTTTCACATGACTTGGAAACCACGGTCAGTCCAAAATGTGATGGCACATGTAGTTACGGTGCAATTTGGAATGTCTATGTGACATCTCTACTTTGGAAGCAGCACTGGTTATTTGTTGATTTCCAAATACAATGCAAGGTCCTAATAACTTAGGACAATAGGTCAGAGGCTAATTATTTGTTGGACTCTCTGCCTACCCTTGGTTGTCTCTGTCTCTCCTATATCAAACATGGTGTTCTAGTTTGGTTGATTAAATAGCTCCATCTTGTGGGACCCAGAGACATGTCTTCTCTGTCACCACTCCTGCACTGCACATTCATGAAGCCTCTTCTGATGCTTCAAGTATTGAAAAAGATTTCTGCACATTCATATGTACATAGAACATACACCTCTTCCAATTACTGCAAGTTCTATTCAGATGCTACGTGTCTCACTGAAGTAAACCACATCACCTTTTCACCTGGAAGTGCAATATTTTCCACTGAGAATTAAAGGTGCTTCAGATAGACCTATTGGTCAACATTCTCTTGAAGTATTTTGCCACTACATTGAATTAATTCATTAAAAATGCACAGAATTTTCATTACCAGGAAATTAATGCAAAATTCTAAGAGTTGGAGTCCACTAAGTTGGAGGATACCCCAACTAGGAAAGCATGCAAAAGATGAAGGTCAATGGATTTCTTATATATCAGGAAAAGTAAGATAGGAAGGCAGAAAAGCAATCAATGTACCAACAGTTAAGGAAGGCAATAGCAGATCAGGGAGGATTTAATGAACCACTAGAAGTTTTTTTTTTCTTCATTGTTTTTGAACCACTGAAATTTTCATAACCTCTTCATCCTTTCTCATGTTTTTCTTTACCAAGCAAAACTGGCCATCCTACTTACAGTTTCCTCTTAAACTCAACCGACAGTGATCCAACTGTAATGCTGGGTTATTTTCCATTAATCCACCAATGGATATATTGTGCAGGAAGTCACCAAGTGTGAGGGGGAACCAAATATCAAAGTCCCGCTCAAAGGAAAATAATTGGTATTTGCTTCCCTGGTACAAATTTCCAGGTAGAAATGGGAAAGGGAAGAGAATCCACCACTCAAGGCTTGTATAACTGCCTACCAGAGAAAACACATGGCCAGGATTTGCTAAAGTAGTAGAAGGGATAAATACAAACAGCAATTTCTTAAGTCAGTTTCAGCATCAAGGACAAATAGATTAAGATTGCTGGATGTAAGAAGCCTGCCCAATATAACTTCATTGCTGACTAAGGAATCCCATTCAGAATATGCTATTCTGAATATACTAAATCAATATAATCTAAGGACAGGTCTCCAAAGGAAGAAGACAGATTAAACAATCCCATTTATTTTATGAAACAGCTGAGTCCAACTTGAATACAAGACACACTGGAACCAGTCCCCTCTGCTTTAGATTCACCAATGCATGCACAGGTTTCGATAGCAGAATATAGAGATATGCCTACAAAATAGCTCTGTTCAGAGTAATTCAGTCTGAATGCATGATTTTGTAGCCACATCAACTTAATAAGCACCAAATAAGTAATAGTAGAGAATAGTAGCCATTTCTTGAATGAACAATAATGGCATATTTACTATTCACTGCCCCAATTCTATCTTTGCTGTCTGGTTTCTGCCTTCTGGCTCCTTACTGGGATTCAGATTCGTTTGACTTTTGACTTCTGGATAGATTTTCCAATTACTTTGCTGTGTGTATTCATGGCTACAAGTAACATTTTGCTGTTTCTAAACAGGTTAGTCATATATTCCCATCACTCTGCCATCTATTTCTAAGAAGAATATTCTGCAGTAAGGAAGTTATTTTACAATGTTTTTGTATAAAATTAAAGTCTGATTTACCTAAGCTTCCAAATCTATTTTTGTATCTGAAATTTTCATGTCAAATTACAAAATGAGCCGAGGTGGCGCAGTGGTTAGAGTGCAGTACTGCAACTACTTCAGCTGACGGCTAGTTCAGCAGATCAGCAGATCAAATCTCACCGGCTCAAGGTTGACTCAGCCTTCCATCCTTCCGAAGTGGGTAAAATGAGGACCCAGATTGTTGGGGGCAATATGCTATTTAGTATACTGTCTTTGGTGTAAGCTGCCCAGAGTTCTCGGAGAGTGGGCGGCATAGAAATATGAATAATAAAATAAATAAAAGAAAAATAAAAGAAATCCAAAATGAACATCCATTTTGGGGGGGAGGGTGTAGAAAATGCAACCGATTTATATAACTTTCACTAACTAAGCTAATAAAAGAAAATTATACAGGCACCATGTTTTTAACACTGCAGGTGAATATTAGTCCAAGGTACCTTAGCAAGATAAATGGAACATCACGATAATCCCAAGGGTTTATGAAATATATTAGTCACTCACTGCATTCCATAAAATCAAATGAAAAGCAAAACAGCAACATACAGTACAGAGTTCAAGTAGCATGGATAGAGGCAGTACGGGTCAGAGTTGGACTTCTTTGACATTTTAGAAAATACTTGGAATATTTGGAAGAAAAAAAACCTAGCATTTAAACAATTGCATTTTTATCTTAATATTGATATGTACATAGATTCAGTTGAGGATTGGCTTCCTGCTCCTGATAATATCAGCAGGAAAGGTTGTCAAAAGATATTTTTAAACTTTCAGTGTCTACTTAATGTGTAGTTTGAATAACTGTTTATTCAGAAATAAAGTGACTAAGTTTGATGGAACATATTTCCACATATTGTAGATATACTAAGTCTTAATATTTAAGTCTTAATTAATGTTTAAATATTGTTATTAGATTTAAAAAATAAATCTCTTTTACATTTAATTTGAATTATTTTTAAAAAAATGCAAATACAAAATGCTATTTTCAAAATAGTGTCTCTATTAAAGAAAATTCATTTTCTTCACTTCTTTTACTATTTTGGGTGTCGAGGGAGATACAAAGTTCCGGCTCTTCTTCTTCTGGTGGCCTCAACCATTGTTAACTGATGTTGTTGTAGTGTGTGTTTTATGTTGTCTGTCCATCTTCTTCTAGGTGTGCCTTGTGTTCTTTGACCTTCTCCTCTTTTTGTATTTACCTTGTATGGTGCAGAATCCTGCAACATCTTCTCCAGGTGAACAAACCACTTTATTTGCTGTTTTTGAATGTAATTTAACATTGGTTCTATGCCAATTCTGTCTCTGATGGTCTCAGTTCTGATGGCTATAGAGCAGTTATGCACCAACTAGAAACAAAGTATATGTAGTCCTCGGATTATGATCCTAACTGGGATTGGAATTTCTATCATTAAGTGAAGGAACACTAAATGAAGTATCACACGACTGTGACTCTTAACAATGGTAGTTCCAGTAGCCTCGGTTGCAATTATTGGGAGAGTTGGGGGCAGCAGCATCAGAAGACGGGTGAGTCAGGAATAGGTAGTAGAGTGTAGGGTAACCAAAGTAATAGCTGGCTTGGTTATTCATTCACAGGAGCACCTTCCCCCGCTTGGTACCCACCAGTCATGTTGGATTACAATCTTCAAAACCACCATCATCCACAGGATGATAACTACCTCTGAATGAACCACGGGACATATTTAAGAAAATTACATGATTGCTTCGGTGCTTTTAAGGCAACCGAACAAGGGATCAAGACAAACATGATCCAATGCAAATCAGGAAAGATGTGAGATTGCTTCTGCAGCTAATCCAGAGGGATCCAAAGAAAGCTCCCCAGAGCCATTGTTTCCTTCCTCCGTCCCTTCCATTTTGTATTGAATTTAACCAGCCAAATAAACAAAGCATAATCTCGTTTGGTGCATACCTCAGTGCTGGCACTTAAACTGCCTCTAATGTGCCAGCTGCTTCTTTGTTTCTTCTTGCTGTATTAATGGATTACACATCATTCTCATTACTTAGTGAAAGAACAAAAAGGAAAAAAAACCCCAACACTTGGGATATAAGAATAAGAAAATGGTGTTGCATGTTAGAAAGCATCCTAGATAAGGGGATTGGATGGGGCATGTTTTGAGGAGATTGATTTTCCTTTCTGTTTTAAAAGAAAGGTGTATTTTCTTGTGGCTAGATGTGCCTCTGCTCAGAAATATTCACCAATGACATTTATATTTGTAAACCAGCAAATGTTCCACTTCTTTTGCATTAGGACATTCAACACAAAAAATGTCAGCTGTTCTGGTGCTGAGTATCCATCCTCCCAGGTTCCTTAATCACCAGCTTCATTAGCAATATTAAAGAACATGGAAAGGAAAGGAGTGGAGAAAATGCACTTTTGAATGCTAAATTGTTTTGAACAATATTGTTTTAGAACTCTGCTTTAATAGTAAGTAAACTAAGAAATATTTTAGTATAAGTTTTAGATGATTTCAATGGGCCCTGACCATGAAATGGGGACTTCAGTAGGTTCTCAACAATACCAAGTGTGATGGTTATTTTGCTTTAGTTGAAATCATCTAATTTATCAAAAACTGAATGCTAACCCATCTGCTCAACAGCATTACTTTTTCTATGTTTAAATATTTCATCAGTCTTACCTATCATATTAAAAAAAAACCCATTTACCAATTTCTGTTCCTTGTCTCTCCACTGACTGAATTTAAGATAATATGTTTGCATGTTGGAGCAACAGCAGGTGACCCTTTTAGTTTTGTCTCCATTGCCTATACATCATCCTCGCCACACAAATGTTTAAGTGCAATGGTAGCAAAAGCCCCCTAACTTTTAAGCAACTATGTTTTAGGGGGCTTTGCATTACATCATCCAATCAGTTGCTATGGACCAATGTAGACATGTTGATGGAACACAAATGTACAAAGGGCTGGATCTTTTATCATGCTGCCATAAGTTGCTTTTTTAAATCTCCCCCTGAAGGTACCACTATATACAATTTGTAAAAAAGTTTTTTTTCCCTTGATTTTTTTGAATTTATTTATTTATATGGCTGCCAATATAAATAAATTTTTACATGGGTGACTCTGGGTGATATACAAGGACTAAAAGAACAGCTATCAGCCATGACCCATGATAGCCATGATTAAAACAATAAACCGCACAATCACAATCACAAAAACCACATCAGTAGCAGAGCTCACCTAACTTCACTTGACCCAACACTTTGAGAAACAATCAAGTCCTCAAAGCCTTGTAAAAGGCTAGCATGAGGGATCCCCTATACTCCAAAGGGATATTCTATAGGAGAAATGCTGCCATTGGGAATGCCTGACTCAATAATATGACAATGGTTGGGAGAAATGGGAACATGCTCTTTTGCTATATCTGGTCAGCTGAGCAGAAGCAATGAGAGAGGCCCTGCAAATAGTCTGGCCCTTTGTTTAAGGAGCTTTAGAGGTGATAACCGGCACCATGAATTACACTCTTGGAGCCAGAGCAGTTTCTGTAATGGTAGAATTATATGTGAATTAAGAGAAATACCAATAACAGCTGATGCCAGTGCATTCTGGACTGGCGGTAACTTTGTATTTATGTGTTTTTATCTTGCGGCTGTTCACCGCCCTGAGTCCTTTGGGAGTAGGGCTGTATACAAATCAAATAAAATAAACATAAAACAAACAAAACAAACTTTAAAATATTATTCAAAGACAGCCCTCATATGGAGCACATTGCAGTAATCCAAACAGGACATGACTAGAACAAGAATCACTGTTAGCAAAATTTCCTGATCCAGAAATTGGCACTTGAAATGAAGCATGCAAAGGTTCCCCCTAGCCACAGCTGCCACCAGGTCTTCAAACATTAAAAAGAGACTATAAAATAAAATCAAGATGGCCTCCAAGATTGTGTGAAAAAAATGTCCCCTCCCCCATTTTACCTGCCTATAAAAATGAGCAGACTTTCAATTATTGCAGATGCCATTTTGACTTTTTTTTATCCCCTTTATGGAAGCCCAGATGTAGCCCTTTAGTTAACTTTTGCTGAGTCACTGCAGACATTTTTGTTATTGTAGTATCTAGACACAAAATTCCAAGGACTATTTGCAAGGTGCAAAATACACACATCTTAAAGCATGAATTTGATCACAACATTCCTGAAAATGAAGGAGAACCAGGCTATCTGGTTCTACTGTTTTTGCAAAGTATTTTCTCAGACTTTCTATTCATTTGTTCTGGTTGTTTTCTGCAGTACAGGGAATAAGATTACATCATCTTTTGTGAGACAGTTGTTCAACTATTTGAAAATTGTCATCAAGCCACTTAATCCAGGACTTGGCATCTGAATCCAAGGATTGACCCAAAAAACAGCACTATAAACTCTTGAAAATGTAGGTGTAGCATGATACTCTCCAAATCTCTCACCAGAATTACCAATATTGATGGGTAATAGAATCTGAAGCCTAACAAGCTTTAGAAGGCCATACTTTAACCATTCTTGCTTAGTAGATATTTGATTCTTTGTATGAAACAATCCTTAATGCTTGCTGACAAATGAAGGTTCTCCTCCATCTTTCAAATATAATGAACAATTCTAGCCCAAACCTATGTATTCAATATTTCTAAGCTGTTTCAGTCTATACTTAACTGAAACTTCATACACACTTAAGCCTATATGATTTAGTTTCAATTTGCCTCTAAGTGACTCCACAAGACATGTTTAGATGAAAAAAAATGCTCAATTATTACATTATTTCAACACATATACATAGGAACACACAGAGAGAATGGGAATCTATTTTTAAATATAAGATTTCTCCAAGTGCAAGTATTAATGTGTTAGTATTTCTGTATAGGCAATATGAAATGAGTGTGCTGTAAAACAAATCACCTGGAGTTCACTCTGAGGAATGGCACTTAGCGATCAATGTTCAACAGACTGTATCTACAAGGTATCCACAATGTTGCTTTTGTAACTGATTTATTTATTTATTAGTTCTTAGAAATTTTTAGTTCTTAGAAATCAACATTATGTTCTTTTTTTCACCAGCTACATAATGTCATTCTTGGGGGATTTTTTTAGTTAGCACTTTAAATAAAATTATTTTGACAAGTTCATCAGACTTGATGCATTTAGAGTGCATGTGGCTGCATGTAAAATCTAGTCATCTATCTTGGAATTTCTACTACATTTATTAATGTATTTTAAACATATTTCTATTAGTGTAATATAAGTCCAGTAAATACAGTAATGAGTAGATATTTAATACCATATTCTTAGGGAAAATAAAGAGTAAACAAAAATAAAAAGTGAATAAATTATTATTTATTCACTGCCATTAGTAAATCATTTATGAAAGAATTAGTCGCAGTATATTGATATCAATATGTCAAAAGTGTGCATGGCACTTTTTCATCTACTTTGAACTATCAGTCAGATTCAAATTTGGAACAAATGCTAAATGTGTGGAAACAAGTGATTTAAAAAAAAGAAAATGTGAAATGTGAAAGATTTGTGTACATTAGAAAATATCCAAAGATCTCTAAGCCTAGCATTTTGTCTGCATTGCCGAAAACTCTGAAAGAGTGATTTACACCAGAAATAGCTATAGACACTAAAAATGTGGTATTTGAATGTTGTTGGTTTCTTTGTGTTTGGGCATTTGAAGCAAATCATTCAAAAATTTGTTATCCTATAAGCTTAAGAGCAAACCTTTATTTTATTTTGTAGCTAGAAGTTAGAATAACAGAGTTGAAAGGGGCCTTGGAGGTCTTCTAGTCCAACCCCCTGCTCAAGCAGGAAATCCTATACTATTTCAGATAGATGGTTCTCCAATCTCTTCTTTAAAACGTCCAATGTTGAAGCAACCACAACTTCTGGAAGCAAGTTGCTGCACTGATTAATTGTTCTAATAGTGAAGAAATTTCCTCTTAGTTCTAGGTTGCTTGTCTCTTTTATTGATTTCCACCCATTGCTTCTTGTCCTTCCCTCAGGTGCTTTGAAGAGTAGCTTGACTCTCTCTTCTTTGTGGCAGCCCCTGAGATATTGGAACACTGTTAACATGTCACCCCTAGTCCTTCTTTTCATTAAACTAGACATACCCAATTCCAGCAACTTATTTATTTATTCATTCATTCATCCATCCATCCATTCTCTCAGCTTTCTTGGAATATAATAATTGATGCTGTCCCCAGAAGAAATGTAGCCAAAATTGCTTTGTGAGCTT